AATTAGTCCTCTCCTTAGTACCTATTATGTATAAAACACTGCTTGGTGCAGTGGAGGATTTGAAAAACAGACACACAGAACAGACAACAAGGTCCCTATCCTCATATCTTTGGAAAGAAGGCATAATCATATAAAATATTAAATAGTATCCCTGGAGAGGCCCTCAGCAATATTCTGGCTCCCTCCCCAGACCCCGACAATAATATATTTTAAATGACAGTATAAAACAATGGCACAATACAATATGTGAGAATAGCCAATAGTAATAACTAATATTTTTCAGAGCATTTCTTTGTACCAGGACCTTTGCTCAGTGCTTTGAATTATCTCATTTAAATACAATCCTATGAGATAGATACTCTTATTATGGACATTTTACATGAGTAAATGGAGGTCTCCTATCTAGCAAGGATTCACACAAGGCAGTCTAACCTGAAATCACTATGCTAAGCTCCAGAGTGCTTTTCAATGTAGGGTTGATTTGGAAATGCATGGAGGATCTTTTAGCACAGAAAGTCAAGAAACAGAGCATCCTAGAGAAGTTAGAGAACACACTACAGCTAGATTTTTTATGAATGCTATCTGATGAGAGTATAGCAGCCTCTCATTGCCTCTCCCGACTCCCAGAGCAACGGGCTCTTCTGAGAGAGCCATGCACAACCAACGTCACATCACTTTCCTCAGCTTTCCCATTACTCCAAACCAATGCAGAATTGAAATTCTGAATAGCAACAACATGCAAAGGCACCATACCACTACCACCGCTGCCACCACCACTGACCTATTGGTGGGAATACATTTTATAAGCTGTGGATCAGAAAGAATGCGAAAAGTCATCGCTTTTTTTGAAAACTCTTTCTAAGCAACCTGAACAGAAAGCTCTCTTTAAATGACAGAAGTGAGGATGTTGTGCATGCCATTGCAGTCCTTGGGTAATGACTGTGTGTCATAAATAGGATATGGCATTTCAGAATGTCTTTAAAGCTATTTCCTTTTGTTCAACTAATTTAATTTACCAAATGCTCCTGGGAAAAAGGAGGGGGACCAAGATGCTGACTCCACATTTCCTGAAAAATCAACGTTTTCTTTTTAAACTGCTCTCAAAGAAATTACATCTGATTGTTGTCTGCTGGCTCCCTCAAACTCTACCTCTGTCAAAATTCTGCCCCGGCAGGTGTGAGAAAGAATAGATGCAGAACTTGAGTGAATACCCACATCTGTTTTTGGAAAAAGGGAACAGAAGCAGCACAGAAGGAAGTAAAAGAGATAATTGCTGGCTTGAACTACAATACATTTTACTTGTGGGCAGAGGGCCAGCTTACAGCAGGCGGAATATGCAGGCCCATCTTATTGGAATTCAGGGGTGGGCCTCCATTCTTGTCCGGAGACAGCTGTAAACCAGCAGCCCATAGCATCACAATCAGGCACTGAGTTTTGTCAAGGAATGCTGATATGTACAGAAGCAGCTTTGTCTGCTTCAACTGCACCCCTGCCTAGTGAAATGACAGTCAATCTCTGATTCCAGATGACAAGAACTGGATAAAAACTTAAAACAAATGGCGACCTTTCAAAAGATTAATTTGTTTACCAACAAAATGTTCCCTCTTTGTCATCTGAGATGGGGGTGACCTTCACTTTCCCATATCTAGGCTGAAAGGATGCTGACTATAGTCATCTGTTAAGTTAACTCCATCTCAGCAATTATTCCCTTTTTTATTTTTAGTGACAAGAAGGGTTTATTAATTCACTCTGCTTCTTGTTATGGTTTATAAATGCAACAAGCTCATTCTGAATTACTGCAGTGTAACATCAATTTGTTTAAATCTAATTCTGCTACCGATGCCAAATTATGTTGTGACTGTAATTGTGGCCATATGCATGGGCTTAAAACACAATCATGTTTTGAAATCATCCTTTTTTCTCCACCACCCCCTTACTCCCACCCCTTACTTCTGGTGCTTCTTCTAATCATTTGACATTAACACAATTGCCTCACTTTCCATTACTTTATCATTTCAGAAATGTATATGCTTTCAGTGAGAGAAAGATTACTATGTACACCACAAGTGAAACAGTAAAGAATGAAACTATGATTTGTGAAGTGTGGTTGCTACCCAACTAAGTTAGTGGAAAACACTGCATAACATATGACTCATAAAATCTAGAAATCATAATAGTATTAAATTCAACCTCATGAATAAATAAAAGGTTCTAAGTTTACATTGCATTATATATTTATTTATTTGGAAAGTGGGACCAAAGAACTGGTATAATTCTACAGCAACTCATATCTTGCTAAAAAGAAAAATGCTTTTATGATTCTTTTCTAGGTCATAACAGTTATAATCAGAGTTATTTGTGCAGCAATTCAAAGCAATGCTTTGTTTGGCTATTTTGTTATGCATTCATAATCGTTCTTTTAAAGTTCATGCTAACAGATACATGTTTCAAGCCTTTTAAGACACCCTTTTTATTTAAAAAAAGATAAATCAAAGTCAAATTTTCTGTAGATCTTTTAATGTGTTGCATTATAAAGTCTAACTGGAACTAGATTTCAGTGAGTAAATGTGAACAGTACCAGGGATTTCTTCTTGCCTCTGACTAGCTATAAGGACATACTCAAAAACATGTTAGAGGGTTGTTTGTTACTATTTGGCAGATTTAAGATACTGAAAAAAACCATCAGTGAGTTTCACTTTTAATATTTTTCCTTTTTTGCAAATTGATTTCACATATCAGAGTCACAGGATATAAAATTCTAAGGTCAGTTTTGTGATATGAGGGTGTGTGGTGAGGATTATATGTATTTTCAATGCACTAAAATCCTTTCATCAGCCACTTATTATCAGAAAGGATACACTTCCTAAGATGGAGAAAATATGAGCTTCTAGGGAACTAATAATGTAAATTGGCTACATATTCAAATTTGCTCTGTCAAAAATGCCTAAGATTATTTACAGGCTTTTGACAAGCTGATCAAGTTTCATAAGAAGTAAGAAAACACATGGCCCTCAGCAGCCAAATAATAATCTTCTTTGAGTGTTTAGAGTAGTTCTGAAACAATTAGCCTTGATACTGCTTTTCTGATTAATCATACATCACAATGCTAGATATACTGCTTCAGTTTGGGTAAGTGCTTAGAAAACGTACTTGTAAGTGGTAAGTCACAATTGTATTTATCCCCAAATGTTCTACACGATTGTTTAAAATGAAATACCTGAATACTTCTCTCACAGGACTTTCTGTACAATGCTTCTGTTTTATAAACCCCAAATGAAAATACTGTTTTTCAGTTAATACCATCATATATCTATATCAACATAAAATGATAGAGTCAATTGACTATTTTGATCAAAAGGCTAATAGTCAGTTTGAGCAAAATATGTATGATGTATATCCAATTTTAAATTGCTCTGGAGTCAAGTTTTATGAAAGAACAAAAAGGATCTTTAATACAGTAAATGAGTATATATTATCTATAATCATAAAAGGCAAAGTACTTTCCCAAATCCTTTTTGCTCATGGATACAATATCCAAGGCACTCATTCTATTTGGAAATTAGAAAAATATAATAAATGACTAAAATTATGTCCCAAATTCTGGCTGTAATTTTGAATTCCCTATTTAAATCTGAATCTTCACTCATATTCACAAAGCAAGGCATAATTCTCTCTAAATCTGGAGGTATACCTTTTAAAACTTCAATGCTCAACAGAGAAAGTTTGCATGAAATGCAGCAGTTGCCTTGGGCTATAAAGCCTCAGCACTCTGCCAGCTAAGCCAATATTAATTCTAGATTGAAGAGGAAAACCAACAACAACAAAAGAGAAATCTGCTTCTGTCTGTACAGCCAGAGAAATAATATTTTTATTTCAAGTGCTTTGGGCTCATGGGAAACAGATAAAAACCATTTCACATTATTCACAGTGACATTTTAAATAAAGTTTCAGCAGAAATAAAAATATCTAACTTTCTGGTTATTTCTTAGGCTATTAAAGTATTTCTATGATAAAGTGCTCTTAAAACAAACTTGTTATTATAACATAAAGCACACATAAGAATATATGTGCGTGAAAATATATTTCAGGGTTACATGAATAAAGTAGGCAGTTCAAAGTGTCTATATAGGAAATTTGAAAGATTAATCTATGAGACTATTATGCTAGTTAGAAATGGCTTTGCAATTTGATCCTAAAATTAATCTTAGTTTTAGTTTTGATTTCACAAAAGTATACATTTAAGAGCTTTCGAGAGAAGCCAAAGGTTAAAAAGGGATTAAATGATATATAAATGTCATCTCAGTAATTGTTTTCAGTATTACAAATGATCTCAAATTAAATAATTTCCCAGTTAAAATGAAGAACTACCCTTAACTCTCTTAAGAAAACCCCACAACACAGAAAGGGTACAATCCTTGCTTTGGGACACTGTAGCAGCAAGTCAATGGCAAAGACAGGCACAGGCTCTGAGATCCCTTAATGCAAATCTACATTTCATTATTTTTCCCTCTCATTATTTTGCTGACATAAAGGATTAGTCCCTGCTTGCTTCAAGTTTTGAATAATATTCTTTAAATATCTGCATATTATGTGAGCATATACCATTGAAGTGGATACTGTGCTATTGATTTTGATTTTGATTTTTCTAGTGGTAAGCTTACCATCAAAGAAATAAAATATTTAAAATTTCTCTATTAATTCTTTTTGTTGGTAAATTATTTCTTCCTTGTTAAAATTATGGTCCTAAATTATTCAGGAATATCAAACAAAATAACAAAATTTGAATGAGCTACAAATAGATTATTTAAAATAGGTTTATATTTTCTTAATCATCTCTAATTATAAACAGAATGAAAGCCATTCCATTTCATCTCTAAAAAATTTCAAGGACAAAAGGATCACAATCTTTACTTAAAATCTATATTCTATCTTACAATACTAATAAATGACTTTTAATTCTTAAAAAAATTAAGAGCTTATTAAAATAATTCATTACTTACACATGCTTGTCTCTGTTTAATATATGGCAAACTGATTCCATAGTTCTCATTTACAGCAGCTCTGTGGTAGATGTTTTCAGGATCCTGCATGATTTTTACATTCAACCCTATCTTTCGCTGAAACAAAGAAACAATGAAACTTTCATTCCGGATGAACAAAAATGCTTACTATCATTTTATATACTCAAAGGAGTATAAAGTTCTTTGAAAATAATTATTTTAATGTAATTCTCACTGGAAAAAATATATTTGGATCTTTTATTTAGGCTGCTAATTGGTCCCTTTTATTTATAGAAAAAGAACTTTCTGCAGATTTTCCTTTATGTATCCTATTGCTCACAAAAATACATCTCAGACACCATTCATTTTCTCAAAAATAATGCTAGAAGCCAACCAAGGTGGACAAAGGACTGGAATACCTGGTCTTGATTTATTTTTAGCTTTCCAGGTCAAGGATTTTGTCAATGAAATCTATACTACAAATGTACAGGTAGAGGGCTCCCTTGGTCTGTTAATGTGGCCACTTTCCTCTAGGGACATTTACAGGTAAATCTCAGTTTGGACCTGATAAATTTACCACAACAAATTGATCTACTTCTTCATGGAGATTTTTGCTGTCTATAAGAATAATTAGTGCTTTCATTAGAAAAAAATAAAAGCATCTTGTTTGAACACTTATTCTTCATTTTACATAATTCAAATCAGTTATTGGTGAGATGCTTCAAAATAAACCATAAGAGTGGGCAGCACAGTGGCAGTGGGAAGGGGCACTGGATAGATGTCAGGACACCAAGGTTCCAGTTCTACCCTGGACTGCTGTATGTGACCTTGGGTAAGCCACTGAATCTCTCTGAAAGTTGGTTTCTTTATTTGCAAAAGGTGGGAGTTAGACTTCATGTTCTCTTGAGGAATTATCCCAGGACTTTGGCATTCTATGATTTGAGGCTAAAGGATAATTTGGCATTTAGGGAATATGGTATTACTAACAATTTCTGAAGACTTCTGTGACTTTTTTATTGTGATATAATTCACATACCATTAAAATCACTCCTTTAAAAGTGTGTAATTCAATGGTTTTCAGTATATTCACAAATATACTATCACTACTATTTAATTCCAGAACAGTTTCATCACCCCAAAATGAGACCTTATTATTCATTAGCAATCACTCCCTGTTCCCTCCTCCCCCCAGCTCCAGGCAACCCACTAATTTACTTTCTGTCTCTACTGATACATCTATTCTGGACATTTTATATAAATGGAATCATACAATATGTGGCATTTTGTAAAGGAGGTTGGAGATATTATGAGCAAGTAAGAAACTGATTTTCTTTCAATTAAGTGTCATAGTTCTGAGGGTAACCTGATATAATTGTTGAAATGACTGTAAGAACCAAACAGATTAGTTCATGATTCAACTATTTCTTTGCTCATAAGCAGTCATAAATGGCCTACATCTAAGGTCAAAGTGAAGAAGGCTACAAAAATATCTATAGAATGCATGCTAGATAAGCACAGATAAGACTAGATAAACAATCTCTTAACACATTCTCTAACCTTCCTTTTATTTTTTAAATAGCGTTTTTAAACCAAATCTCCAACTAACTGCCCTCAACTGTCCACTTTATTTAAACCATGCAGGCACACAGGCTGCAAACAAGATATGTCTATTCCCTTCTCCTTGAGGTACATGTACATGGTGACAAAATTAATGTAGTACCTAATTATAAATGGCTTTCCTTCTTTGGGTAAACCACACTCACAGCACTACTCTGGGATTTTTGTGTGGAAGCCAGGCGCCTCTTTTATTGAAATTAATACCTAAACATAATTTTTTCCTTCTTAATTAAACTTTCAGAATAATTTCCATTCTACCAAGGATCGGGAAATTGCTAATATGTATTATATTGACTGGTGGTTTCTGTAATTAGGGTGCTTTTAAAATGTGTATTCTGGATACAGAATTGATGGTAATAGCTTCATCTATCATGTCTAAGCTTTGTTAGAACTTTTTAATTCTGAGATCATTGGCTCAGTAGACCGTAGCAATTTTCTTAGTTTTATTATGCTCCATCAACTTTGTGTGGTTAGAGGACTGATGTAGGGAGGAAATGACCAAATACAGACCCACAGTTAAAACTGGCCTTAAAATCCAGTTATGTTTGCCTATTTCTGTGGTACTAGATACATATATTTCTGAAAGAAATCTGTATGAACTAGAAATTTAACAGAAATGATAGTTGTAATATCAACTCTTTATTGTTGGCTTCCCAATCAATGGGAAAGGTCCTTTAAAATGATTAATAGTCTCATATTTAATATTTTGGCACCAAAGTATGTATACACCAAAATAATATGTAGCACATGATTTAATTTTCCTTTTCAACAAACATTTCAAAGGTATCTATATTTAAATAATACTAACACATCAAATGGCTTCACTGACAATCACTACCGAATACATTCAAAACCTAAATTTACTTCATAAACCATCTATAGAGATGTATGGGAAAATACTTACAAGCATTAGCTGTACTATCGGACCCAGTAATAAAATTGTTCAAGAAAATCAATTATAGATTTCAAAAACAAAAATAAAATTAATCATTCCATTAAGCAGAAAAGCATGCTGTAAAAGATGATCAATTTTTACCAATAGTAAGATAAATATAAGAAATAATTTCAGAATTTTTTCTTAAATTGGTCAAGAAAAAAATAGCAATTTATTTAATCTATCTTGAGTCCCTAAACAATCTAAACTTTGTATTCTCTCCTTTTGATAGTAATTACAAGCAGATATATATATCAAATGTGACTCTCATTTAGACGTTGGTTTGTAAGAACAAAAGTTATTATCAGAGCCAATTACTGTTTTACCTACATGGCTGCACAGAAGCAGGGAGCTCAATTTTCATCTCATCAGTGATTTTGTGGTATTTATTTTATTACTATGCCCACAAAGCTATATAAGAAGGAAATAGCTTATGCTATTAAAACTAGGGCTGGAATAGAAGAGACTACGGTTTCTTTTAGAAGAACTTCTGAATTAAAAACACTAGGCAGCGTGTAATGCGAGCTCCCCAGACATGGACAGACCATAAAATGACACACATCTGAGCAGCAGATCCCATACAGAGTAATCAAAATTGAAATGCTTCACAAACGAAGTTGAGAGAGGCTATTTACTAAGTTACAGTATTATCAACAATGTTTGCTACAACTAATGTCTTCTAAAGTAGATATTGCTTAATATCATAGTCCCAGTGGTTAAAGATATTTGCTGTTTAATCTCAAAACTAGAGAAAAGAAAAATAGGAAAAGAATCTGAGTCGCCTTTAACACTCATTCTCTCAACTGTTATTATTTGTAATGGAAAGAGCAATAGATGTCAAGTTGTGGTTTGAGCTATATGATCTAGATTTCTCATTTGTAAAACTAGGTAATAACACTTACCTTCACAGGGTTGTTTTTGAGTTTCCAATGACTAATGTATGTTAAGTATTTTATAAATTATAAAGTAGTATGCAGGTGCCAATTTGAGAGGGGCTCCTACTGGCCAAAAAGTAACAACTACAATGGATTGAAACACTTCAAATATATAAAAACCCATGAGTCCTTAATAGTATTTCCCTCTCCCCTCAAAAGCTAGTTCACTAAAATTGATAAATTAATCTGAAAACTGATAAGGAAGGGATTAGCATTTATTCTACTTTTCCTTAAAAACTATTTTTCAGATTCACCAAAGAGTTGCTGCTAGGGAAAAGTTCTTTGTGGAAGCTAATAAATGCAAAGTAATGATAGAATTATAAAATAACCACTTTGAAATCTCTAATGAAATAATGTATTTAGGTAAACATCAATGGTTGAGGAGGGTTTTATAAAGGGTAAATTGAGCTGATAATACTTGGACTGAATGACCAATCTAATATCATCAAAAAAGAAAAAATAAATTGCCTCTTGATGTGCTGTAAAAGAAAGTACATAGCACCACTGTACAATATAAAGTATTCCTAGCAAAAAATGGAACCTGAATCCAATCAAGTTTTTAGATAAAACTAACAGTTTACAAGAACTACTAGGGACAGAGGAACATGTAAAATAATGCCATGGGATTGCAATCAGCCAAGTCCACACTATAGGAGAAACCTATATGACAAATGACCTGAATTCTTCAATTCATAAATGACATTTTTTAAATCAGGGAAACTGTTACAGATAAATAAAATGAAATATGATTATGATGTGTGGACCTTGTTTGCATCCTGATTCAAACAACAATAGAACAACAATTTTAAGACAATTGGGGAAAACTGAACCTGGACTAGGAATTATGTTAATGAATTGTTAAATTTGTTATATGTGATAATAGTTGTTTTTTAAAAAATCTTTATCAAAGAATATACCATGGAGTGAAATGATATGATGTCTAGGACTTGCTTTAAAAAACTTTGCCCCCCAAAGTGAAGGGAATAGATGCAATAAAAATGGTAAAATTATGTTAACTGTTAAAGCTATTTTTGGGTCTACACAAAAATAAATTTTCCTAAAAAGTCATCATTAAAATTAAGACATAGTTAAAATGTAATTATTCATGGTTTTATTATTACTTCAGCTCTAACATTCTATGCTCTATGACTTCCCCTCTTACTTTGCTGTTAGGGCTAGAAGGATCAAAAAGTAGAATCCCTCCACAATCAAAGCATCACGTAACTCCATGCTACTTTTAAAAGGCCCCACTGCCACCTAACTGCCTCAGGTTCACAAAACCTAAAGACTTAACTACTTCTATTCAGATGTGCCTACCCAGTTTTCTGATTCCTACAGGAGTTGAATTAGAGAATAAAAGAAAGGTGGAGGGAGAGAGCTAACATTTATTTAGTTCCCATTTTGTGCCAGGCACCATAATAGGTGGGTGTTGTCATATTCAACTGATTTAATTTAGTCCTTAAAATTACAAGAGGGGGTAAGTGATATTATTACTACTTTGCCAATGAGGATAACTGGTTAAGTGACTTCTCAAGGTCACACAACTTGAAAGTGGAGAGACAGGATTTAAGTCTGTGACTCCAAAGCCTCTTTCCATCATAACATGCTGCCACATTATAAAGAAAGGTTCA